AATAGGAATTGTAAGTCCATCAGTTGCCTCAGTGGTGGTGATGCCACATTCGCCGGGTGAGGGAGCTTAATTATTCCGATATGTAATCTATATTAATATGTGTATTGAATGCCTGCAGCTGTGGTGCCAAAGGTATACCTGATAACTGCAAATTGGGCGCTAAGAAATATCCAGATGCTGAATATCCCAAGTGCTGCATCAATGTGGTCCATTGTCCCGATGGCGATAGTGTATTTTAGTGAGCTAAAATATATTTCCTTTCCCCCATACGCCTACTTGGGGTGTGGCATATTGAAAAACCTTTATACTTACCAACAGACAGCCCAACTTCAAATCTATTTATATATATTAGATCACTTAGGCCCTTGGCGGCGTGATCAATCGGGTAAAACTGTATCTTCCACAGTTTTTTTTTTTTTTAGTTTTTTTCATGCAAGATCTTTTGCTTCTTAATTGACTGCCTTATAAGAAAATAAATTTGCATATTTACATACCAATTAAAATGTAAACTTAATGAACGTTTGGCATGTTATAGGGGAAATCAAGCATATGGAACATTTATCGAAACGTAGACAAACTCGTAATAATTAACGATGTGGTTTCTGCTATTTACCTGTTGACTAAGACCAAGTGAAGGTTATGAACATATGTACATATATATGGTTTAATTAATTGCATATGTATTTAGTTAAGTATACACCTAATGCAAACACACACACACACTCACATAGACACAAAGTCAGAGAGATTTGTCACCAGGTTCAATTAGTTGCAGTCGAATGCACTCAACACGGTCATCAAATCAGTTTGAATTTGTGGCTTAAGTTAAATATCGTGTGTGTGGATGTGCGTATATTTGTGTTTGTGTATGCGTATGTGTGTGCTGTAAATGTGCCTTAAAGCTGCTCTTCACTATTAATGTTTGAAATAATAATGTTTTCATTCTTTGCTTAATTCCTTCATTTTTATTCATTTATTTCCTTTTTATAAAATTAAGAAAAATTAAAAAACAAATAAAAAAAAAATATATTCAGATGTGAATATCTAAAGTTAAAAACTCGCAAGAATGCTCTACATGGGAGTGCACTTATAGTCGATACCCTACAACCTGGAATAGCAGTTCTATGCTATTTATATCGCGTCATACGACCTTACTTATATATATTTTTTCACTAATTTTTACACTAAATACACATTCCTCAAATAAAATCCAACAGCTTTTGCAGATGGTTTCTTGAACCCAAATAAAAAAGGCAAATTTAAGAAACAAACTTGTTTTATTAATACAATTTTTATTTTTGTTAGCTAAATACATTTTAAAAGCAAATTAGACTTTGCCTACCAATTTTGTTGTATTTTTTGTAACATTAAATTTTTATAATATATATGAATATTTTTATTATAACATAAACATTTCTTAATTTTGAAAAAAAAAAAAATCATTTGACATACAGTGATTAAAATTTACAATAAATTAAATATATTAAAATATAAACACAAAAATAAATTAAAACATTTTTTCAGTTTTGTGATAATATACTATGAATTCTTTTTGAGCCAGGATTTCGAGGACTGAGCTACTGAAAATTCAAATTTTAACATTAACAAAACATGTAACAATAAAGCATTAAATTCGTATAAATTATTTGTGCACAAAATAATCAATATGCAAGAGGATTTACTGTTACAGCATAAATTCTACATAAATTCATAAATAATTAAGAATATTGTTGGGGGAAAATCTATTTTGCTGTTGGCATTGATTTCGGGCAGTGACCTTTAATTGAATTGGATCTAAAAGCGGCTGTCAAATAATATGCAAAATGAGGTCGAAAATATAGATATGGATGTGGAAATGGAGGGAAACGGTTGAAGGCAGTGCGAAACATTTAACGTGGCGCTCGAGCTTAATTTGGTCAACCAACATGCTAACCACCCCCAGCCACCATCAGCCACCCTCAACCACACACACACACACACCCACACAGTTGGTAATTAGTGTTGTGGGTGCGGTTTCAGTTTCAGTTTCAGCTCCACTGCTCTTATCTTTCCGCTCGAAATTGTTGTTGTTGTTGTTGTTGACACAGCTTTTCGCTTATTTTTGTTGATAGCATCGACGACTGGCGGAGAGAGTATGTGTGAGAGAGAGAGAGAGAGAGAGAGAGAGAGAGAGAGAGGATATCAGCGTACACCCATGCGACCCATGTGGACACACAAATCATAACGCTAACCGCTCAATAAATTTGTTTGCTTGCCAAAAGTATGTTACGAAAATAGCGGGGCGCCCATTTGCCCCAGTAACAAACGGACCAGGGTCAAGCTAGAACCCCAAGCTCGTAAGAAATGTTTTAACAGCCAGCCGGAGCAGTCGACCAGCCAAATTAATAGACTGCCATAAACTGAGCATAAAGCTTCGTAATAAACTTACCGACTTGCCGAGCGCTTTGCAGCCATAAAATAAGTCGCCATAAGTATGGCATACTAACTAGCTATATATATACACATATATCTTTATATGTGGCCAACTTCTCAATTTATGAAGCTAGTTTTATGTCCTCCATGTTCAGTTTATATGCGCAAAAGCCAAAAATTTGATTTAAATCAAAAAGGCAAGTAGCAGTTTTTTATGAAATTTCTATTTTGGGCGGAAAGATTTTTATTCGTGTCCTTTAGGTTGACTTTATGAGCTTTAAGTCTTAAGGGCATTAAGAATAATTCAGGAATTTTTTAGGTTTTATTCTTAGATGTTTGTATACAAAGACAGACACCGTTAGTCTGCTACGCTTTTTGTGTTCTTTTATTTTTACTGCTATAGCTAAAAAAAATGTTTTTGAGAAATTTTATTTTGTGAAAATTTAGCAGCTTTGAGTGTTCTCTTTCAATGCTATAAGTCTCCAACAATAATATCAATTGTTCACTTGAATACTTTTATATATAAAATCTGAGTACTGGAATTAATTAAAATTTATATGATTTCCTTTTGGCTGACCTTATATCAAATATATACGTAATATAATTATGTCGAAATTATAATTTTAAGGCCAAGTGTAAGAATTTATTATATGCTTCTAAACAGGAGGTAAAAAAAGTACATGGGTTAAGTGCAATTTCCGGTTGCTGACCTAACTCTCTCGAAATCTTTTATTCATTATACTCATAATCGAAAGTGAAATGAGAACATGGGTCTTGAAATTCCAAACATATACTCGTGTATATCTTCAAATTATAAAGTGTGAAGATTTTACAATCGGCCTATCAGAAAAAAAAGGTATTCGGCCATTGTGATTTTAATACTGTTAAGCTGAAATATCGAATGTTTTCCCGCTTTGACAATAACATTAGAGGCGTGGCAAATCGGGTAAGGCAGTACTTTCTACACTTTTAGAGCTAGAAATATAGCTTTACTGCTAACATGTTTATTATAACTTACACAAAGCAAATATTTATATACCGATTGGGGACGTGGTAAATATAGAAAATATAGAAAAATATAGAAATAGAGCTGGCAACCTTTGAGCAGTGAATGAGTATTCTGATGTCGGTAACGCCCGACTGAAACGTCTTGTGTGCGTTTGCTTGTATTATTTCTATAATTAAAAATATAGCTTACCTGTAGTATTTTGTAATTAACACATGCTAAATTCATATAGGCAGAAATTAATTATTAACTAATTAATTCAATTGATGAGCAGTTTTAAACTTAAGAAAACGATGATATTCTCGCGATGAATTTGATGTCATTAATAGTAATGTGCAACAACTTGTGTGTCTTCTCAAATATTTGCCCTTATGAGTTGCTATGGTCTGCAGCAATGTGTATATTTATGGTAAAGATGACTGTGTAAAATCGTCGGTTGTTTTCGTATTTGTTTTTTGTTTTTGTTTTCGTTTTTGTTTATTTTATTTTTAGATGCTCGATGTGTGCTTTGCTGCGCAGTCTCTAGAAGAACAAGCACACAGAATATTGCTCAGTTATAGATATGTAGGGAATAAGCCTTTATTAAGCATTTTAGCTTTACTTTGCTTTAATCAATTCACGTTCACAGCATTTGGGGTAATCGGCATTGGGATTCTTCACATTGCCAAACTGGAAGCCTGGAGGGGGGACCTCAACGCCGCAGCTGTAAAATGTTTTATTATTATTAAAATTATGATTATTACTATTTTCCATTTGACTTACGTGTGAATTTCGGCCCAGCTCTCGCTGCCACATATAATGCGCGCACAGCCCATTTCGGGATATTTGGCTTGTTCGCCCGAGCTCAGGATAACATCGTCCGACACATAACACTTGCCGGGATACTTCTCATTCGCGAAGAGGCCACGTATCACAGCGGCCTCAGTGGGCGGCGTCAGTAACAGCGCCGCAGTCAGCAGCAACGCCAACAGAATTCCGCTCACGAATTGATACATCTTGCCGTTTCGCACTCAAAAATCGAACTGATTCAGCTGGTAGAATCGAGACGAATGGCAGCCGGTATCGCCTCACTCACGTCGTGAGTGTCAAACAGGTTTCAGATGGCGTCACTTTACCATAGTGGGTGCGATTATTTAATAAAGTGGGAAAATACTAATTAGTTGTTTATACTTGATAAATGTGATATGAATAATGCACAGAGAAAATTAAGTGAACAATTTACGATATACTTATATAAAAGAATATAAACTTTATTAGCAACTAAAGGAGAGCTAAACAAAAATTTAAAAAATTCAACATTATTATGATTATTTGTTTTATTTTATTTTAACTACATATATAGTTTGTATCACTTTATAATAAATATATACTTCATTTAGAAATATAAAATTTCTCTTCTAGCATATTCCTTTGGTTTTTCTAAAATAAATTTTTTTTGTATTGCTATTAAAAACGATTGATTTTCTTTCACAATTATTATATTAATATATTTATTTTACATAGTTTATAATTTATTTTATTCCACTTTGTTTAATCTACAAACACTGTGGTTAATTGATTTTCAAACATTTGGAATTTCCCTATCTGTGCGTATGACATAAATATGATTACAAACCACATGCTCTAAACTGTATTAAACTTTAAATGCTTGGGGTTATCACTTATTAAATTTAGCTTGCAACGAATCGTTAAATGCAAACAAAAGACCGGAACAGATTGATAAGGGAACAATTTCAATCACACACCATGTTACGCTTGCAGCAGTCGGGGTAGTCTGCCTCCCAGTCCTTGAAACTTGTGTAGCGACAGCCGAGATTTGGACGCATAAAATCGCAGCTGCCAGAGCGTAGGAATTAGACAGTTCAAATATATATTTATATAATATATATTTTGATTATTCTTTAGTACATACGTTTCTAGCATGCCCCAGCCATCTCCTATGCAAAAGATCTGTGTGCAGGGCAGCGAATCCAGCTTAACAGACTCCCCAAATTTTAGCAGCACTACGGATGTGCCCATATCCACAACACAGCGATCGGGGTATACTATGAGCGGTGTGAAGATAAATATGGAAATAGGTGAGGATTAAATGAGAGAGAAACAGGAGAGTTTTTCGAGGGAGAGAGAGGAAACTGTTTGATAGAATGATACCTAATTGGACTTGAGGAGAGTCGTTATATATGTTAGAGATTTTTATTTAACATATCAATCGAGTTTAATGGAACTAGAATAAAGTAAACTAGTCAAAGTGCTTACCGCTATTTCCATAGTTGTTTAGTGCATTCAAGGCCAAGGTCTGAGTAATGCTCTGGACAAAGATAAGAATGAGTACGGCCTTGACAAGATACATTTTGTTTATTGAATATGTAGATGAAACTATATATAATATATATTGGGATACAACTAAAATTTACTGCACAGTTTGCTTAAATGTCGTTGGTGAAAATTTCAGTATTACAAATGATTTTACGTTCACAGCAATGCGGATAGGGTTGATCGATGTCGATATAGTTCCCAAATCGACAATGGGATGGTAACCCAATGATGCCACAGCTGCTTAAATATAGGTTTTACTGAAGATCGATGTCGATATATCCAATCGAAACTGTAGCCTTACCTTTGGAATATGGCCGTGCCATTGAAGCCGCAGGTGATTCGCCGGCATTCCCCACTGGGATCCTTGATACTAACACCCTCGTCGATTATTAGGGACGGTTCAATGGCGCACTTACCTGGATGTTCTGCATTTAATATGGGTATTACTAACACTTATGTATATGCATATCTGTATATGTATATATATACCCACTCTTATCCCGGAATATGCCCACCCATTCAGCAGCCTCCACTCTGTGTGTAAAACATGCGACAAATAGTAAGAATATTATTATTTGAACATTCATTTTTTATTGATATTATTTAATTTATTATTATTTTTTAAATTTATTTTTATTATAATGTTTGCAACTATTTTAAATCGATAAAGTAATTTGTATTAATTTTGATAAGAAATAGTTTGGAGAATATAAACTACTTAGATAATTTTCCCATTTGAAAGTGTCAGTCGTTTGATAATCAACTAACTGCACTCTAGATTTGGTTAATGAGAGTTTGGCTAGGCTGCAAGCTGAGGTGTATTAAGTAGATTTAGTTAAGATGAGATTAAAGAGAGATATCTAGAAACGAATCAGTCAGAATCAGAGTCAGTTGGTAAATTTATATATGTTAGGTTATTCTCCATATGTAGAGATGTTTTACTTATATTGCTTTAAACTTCAAAATCATATTTTGTTATAAAATTTTAAATTAAAGTTTTAAGTAGGTTTGAGTATGTTAGGTTAGGTTATCTAGTGTTAAGATGGGTTAGATTCTGTTGGCGTGAATTTGGTTTGCTGTTAAAGAAAGCCTCACCTATAATAAGGAGTATTTTCTCAAGATATGCTATAAATGAAAAACAGTTTAGCTCTAATATGCCATAACTCATACGCCGTAGATATTTGGGAATATTGAGACAATTTGCTTATTTAACTTGATATGTTAATAGAAAATCAAACTAAGCAACGATTCATGAGCAGAACAGATATTATATATTATTATATATAACCGTATAAGTTTGCTCATAAGTTTGTCTGGGGACCAGAATTTTCGTCGCTAAAACCGTACAGACGCTATAAGCAGAGTCGTTATAACCGGATACTACTGTACATTGCATAGAGTGGGGCTTACAGGCGAGCACTGAATTTGGAAGAGCTCCTGTAATCTTACCGCAGCAAATAAGTTAAAAAGACTTTATGTAGTCCAAACTCCCTGCAAGAGTTTTTAAATCCCAATTTCCAATTCGAGTTTCCCTTTATGACGAAACAAAAATAGATTTACTACGACAATTTTTGTATTTTTATTAATTTTAGCGACATAGAATTTCTTCTTTTTTTTTTCAAAACAATCTGAAACTGAGCCAAAATAGAAAACAAGACTTAATAATTAGAATCGATTGAATTGCAGTCAATATGGCGTGGACAGCAGTCCGGATAGGGAGCATTTATATCAACGTAATCACCAAATACGCAGTCCGTGGGCGGATACTCCTTGGGGCAACTGTGCGGCATTAAAAATTACAATAACTAGATTTTGGCGAATTGTATAAGTGTAGAGGATACTAACGTATAGATCAGGGCCCAACTGTTGCGGCCACAATAGACCTCGGCGCATTTGCCAGGATAACGGATAGTCTCATCGCTGTTGATAACCACGAGCTTGCCATTTGATGAGTGAATAACGCACTTGCCGGGATATTCTGAAAGAAATATGCAAATATATTTAATATATATGTATATGTCTTTAACTAATGTCTGGGCTAACCCTCATGCTTGAGTATGACATGATGTGCTTCCGCTTCAGCGGCGTATGCAGTATGCAGCATCAAAGCCAGAGCCAGAATCGAGAGGGCAATCAACGACGACGACATTTTCTGAGTTTTGTTGCTTTTGATTTATGTGTGTGTGTGTGTGTATTTCGAATTGAGAGTGAGCGAAATGGGTGTCTGTGTGTAATTCAGGAAATTTTACTAGGGAGATTCAATTTACTTGTTGTTGTTGTGCATTAACGAAGTGTGTGTGCGTCTGTGTGTGTGTGTGTGATAAAATTTGTATAGCCTGCTCCGATGCCTGATGCCTGGTGCCTGCTGCCTGCTGTCGATTTAGTATGCACATTTTAATTAAAAGCATCAGCAGCTATTGCCACAGATACATTTATAGATGCAGATGCACAGCTATAGATACACAGATACATTTATCGAATATGTTAATCCCGTTATGTGCACTCGGTGTGTGCACAGATGTTGTCGTTGTCGTTGTCGTTGTCGTTGTCGTTGACGTTGCCTTTGCATAATTCGATTAAACAACGTTGACGCCCCCAGTTGCCCGTCGCCCCGCGCGTGATCTCTCTCTCTCTCTCCCTCTCCTTTCACTTGACAGCGCCCTCAATGCAAATATTTGTGTGCATGTGTGTGTGTGCTGGATTTTGATTGTTGCTGTTGGCCCGACCTCAGCGCCTCGCCCGCTCGCTGTCTGCAATTATTTAGCTACCCAAATGTAGACAAATTAGTGGCCATATAATTGATGCAATTGTGTGTGTGTATGTATGTGTGTGTGAGTGTGTGTGGGTTTGTTTGTGTGTTGTTGTTATTGAGTGCTTAGCTGTGTTGAGCCAAGTAAATGTAAATCCATTGCTGATGTTTTTGTTTTAGCTGCCAATGTTGCTGCCCTTGCCCCTCTCTATCTGTCCCTGTCTCTCTCTCTCTCTCTCTCTCTCTCTCTCCCAGTCACTTCTCTGCCTCGTTTCTCTGGTCTCTTGGAACTTGATTACATTCGGCCATGCTGGCAATTAGGCAAGCGGCCTTCATTGTTTGCCAGCTGAAATTAATTGAATCGAGTGGCCTCAGCTGAGATTCAAATATGCAATTCCCCATTTTCAAGATGGGCCAACGTTTCTCTTTTCTCTTCTTCACTCTAGCCACATTGTTTCACACTATTTGCTTGAAACAAATGGTACTTTCATTAACAAAGGAAATAGCACAAGGAAATTAAAAACACAGCTAATATGTGTGCGGAAATTTCACATAGTTAATACATATACATATGTGTTATATTTTTTTAACAATTTTAAAAACAATTTTATTATATAAAATATTCGCGTGTGCATAACAAAGCACGATAAAAATAATAATAATAATAAAAATAAAA